TCACTCTCTCCAGGACAAACTTCTTTTATTCTCCTAGCAGTCTATGTATTTAAAACTCTTTTCCAGCACCACAACTCAAGGCATCAATTCTTCTATCATCCTTAGTCGTTGTCCACCTTTCTGATACATAACAAGTAATTGTGAAGACCATGGTCTGTATCAGGTGCACCTTAGTCTCTAGATTGACATTGTTGTTCTTTGGTACTCTGGAGAGATTCCTGACAGCAGACTTTCCCAGTGCAAATTATCTTTTGATTTCCTGGCTGCTGGTACCAAGAGTATTGATTGTGGAGCCAAGCCAACTGAAGCTGTTAACAATTTCAGTCTCTTTGCCATCTACCATGATGACAATTGGCCCAGCATTGAGAATCTTCATTTTCTTGATATTGAGCTTCAATTAATATTGAAGACTATCGTCCTTGACCTTCCGCAGCAAATGCCTCACTCAGGTCCTCCTCAGTTTCAGCAAGCAAGACTGTATCTATCATCTGTGTAACACAAGGTGTTGATGAGTCTCCTTCCAACCCTATACACACTCCTCTTCATAGAACCCAGCCTCCAGAATGAGCTCTTCTGCATATAGGTTGAAAAGGTGTGAGAGGGGATGTATTCCTGTCATATACCATTCCTGATTTTGAACCATCCAGTGTTTCCTTGCTCTGCTCTGACGACTATCTACTAGTCAGAGTATAGGTTTTGCATAGACACAATCAAGTGTTCTGGGATTCCCATTCTGCTCAGAATTAGCCATAGTTTGTTGTGATCCACACAGTCAAATGCCTTCGCATAGTCAATGAAACAAAGATAGTCATTCCTCTGGTAGTTTCTGTTTTCAACCAAGATACATCTCACTTTGGAGATAACATCGTTAGTGCCACTAGCCTCTTTCTCAAGTCTATAGATCTGGTAGTTTTATGTTGATGTGCTTTTCCAGTCATTTTTGGATAATTTTCAGCAGGATCTTGCTTGCATGTGATATTAATGATATTGTTCAATAATTTTCACACTCTGTTGGGTTACCTTTTTTGGACCAGAAACAAATAGAGATCTCTTCCAGTCAGCTGGCTAGGTGGCTGTCCTCCAGATTTCTTGGCACTACTAGGTGAGCACATCCAGTGCAGTGTCTGTTTGTTGAAGTATTTCAGTTGGTATGCTGTCACTTCCTGGGGCCTTCTTTTTGCCAATGCATTCAGAGTAGCTTAAACTTCCTCTTTCATCATCACAGGCTCTTGCTCATACGTTGTTTCATGAAATGCTTCTGTGTTAGCCAATTCTTTATGGTACGGGGAATCTGTATACTCCTTCCATCTTCTTTTAGTGTTTCCTGGATCATTCAATATTCTGCCCATAGCATCCTTAAGTATTGCCAACTCGAGGCTTGCATTTGCTCTTCAGTTCCTTCAGCAGCAATCATCTAAAATCCTCTTCACTTTCAGCAAGAAAGGTTGTGTCATCTGCAGAGTGCAGGTTGTTGATTAGTCTTCCTATAATCCTGATGCCATATTATTCTTCACAGGGTCCAGATTCATGAATTATTTGCTTGGTATACAGAATTAATAGGTATTGAGAAAAGAAATATCCCTGAGGCATACTCTTCTGATTTTAAGCCATGCAGTAATTCCTTGTTCTGTTTAGATAACAACTTATAGGTGTAGATTTCACATGAGCAAAATTAAGAGTTCTGGGATCCCCATTCTTCTCAGAGGTAGCAATAGTTTGCTATGATGGGCACAATCAAATTCCTTTAATAGTCAATAAAATAGAGGCAGACATTCTTCTTATATTCTCCTCTTTCATTCAGGATCCATGTGACATCAGTAATGATATCTCCCTAGTGTCATGGCATCTTCTAAATCCAACTTGAATTTCTGGCAATTCCCTGTTGATTCCAGTCATTTTGGAATGATCTTCAGTAGTATTCTGTTTGTATGTGATATTAATGATGCTGATGCTGTTGTGTACCTAGAGCTAGAAACAACTTATAGCTGACCATCCTGCATGTTTTAGGAGACAGTAATAGCACAGGAGCAAAGAAACGCTGCATGGTTCAAAATTATGAAAAGAGTGTGTCAGGGATGCATCCTGTCTTCGTATCTTTTCAATCTATATGCAGAACAGATCATTTGGGAAGCTGGGCTTTATGAGGAGGAATGTGGCATCATGAATGAAGAAGACTCATCAACAACCTACATTGTGCAGATGATACAACCTTGCTTGCTGAAACTGAGGAGGACTTGAAGAGCTTGCTGCAGAAGGTCAAGGACTGTATTCTTCAATATGGATTGAAGCTCAATATCAAGAAGACAAAGATTATCACCACTAGGCAGCACCATGACAGATGGAGAAGAGATTGAGGTTGTTAACAGCAGCTTGCTCGGCTCTACAATAACACCCTTGGCACCAGCAGGCAGGAGATCAAAATATGAATTTCAATGAGAAAATCTGCTGTCAGGGACCTCTCCAGAGCACTGAAAAGCAGCAATGTCAGTCTAGAGACTAAGAAGCACCTGATGCAGGCCATGGTCTTCACAATTACTTGCTACTCATCAGAAAGCTGGACAATGACTAAAGATGACAGAAGAATCAATGTCTTCAAGTTGTCGTGGTGGAGAAGAGTCTTGAACACAAGTCTGTCTTGGAGAAGGTGAAACCAAGTTTCTCTTTGGAGGCTAGGATTTTGAAGTTCTGTCTCACATCCTTTGGCACATGGCCATGAGGGACTAATCCTTGGAGAAGGACATTTTGCTCCAAAGGGTGGAGGGACAGCAAAGGAGAGGAAGACCCTGGATGAGATGGATTGACACAGTAACCGGGGCAATGGGGTTTGATGTGTCAGAATCAGTGAGACTGGTCAGGAAAGGAAAGGTTTCTGAGCTGTACATAGGGTTGCTATGGGTTGCAGGTGACTTGTCGGCATAGTACAACAACAACAATTACACAGGAGAGGACTGCTCATCCTTCTTCCGCAGAGCAGCTAGTGGCCTTGAGCTTCATGCCTGCAGGACTACAGTGCAGTGCAGCTTTTGCCACTAGGCCATCAGAGCTTGTTGATAATTTCCACATTCTGTTAGATCACCCTTTTTCAGAATGGGGTCAAATATGGAATTCTTCCAATCACCCAGGCCGTCAGCTACGTCCAAATTTCCTGACTGGTCAGCACATTCATGTTTACATCAGTAGTTGAAATTGTCAATCAATATCCTATTTATGGGGCCTTATTTTTGCCTGTGTCTTCAATATAGCTTGAACTTCTTCCTAGTTACCATTGCTCTTGTTCATATAGGGCTTCTTGAACTTTTTCAGGGTAAAGAAGCATTATAGTTTAAATAAGCAAGTATTTTTATACCAACGGCATTTGGAATGATAATTAATTTGTAACACAGTATCAAACATAATTAATAAAGTAAATTTAAATTGTTGTGACCTAATTACATTATATGAAAGTACATAACTAATAATTTTGATGATTGAAATAAAGTCAGCAAAACTGAGTAACAGGGAAAATCAAGCAATACTTTTAATAAGTATAAAGTATATTTGTGGATAGTTGTTAGAATTGTTAAAATATCCTTAATTACTAAATTATATATGCCTTAATTTCATTTTAACAGTCAGAGACATTTTGTAACACATTTAATCATCATCATAAAAACAAACATTTTTACAAACACAGAACATTTTAAACCAATAATTAGTTTGGCTTTAAAAATAGAAGTAATTTAAAACTTTAGGACTGGCAAAATGTTAAGGGTGAAATTTGGCTGTACCTGGGAATATCACTGAAAATGGTATCCTGGAGAAGAAACAGGAAAGGGAATGATAGTCCACTCCAGAAGGTGGAAGGAATCAGTGCCTGGAGACATGACATCTGGCAGGAAACAAAAGGAGCTGCACCAAGAGGTGATCTCTGTGGGTATCCAGGTAGAGCCCTGAAGCAACCAATCTCACAGGTTCAGGTGCAGGACAAAGCAACCCCCAGGCAGGACCCCAGGGGGGACAAAGCAATGACTAGCCTCAAAAGACTTCAAGCAAAAGTTAGAATGGATAAAAGCATGCTAGAAAGAAGGAGTCTCTCTTTCTTTTTGGCCTCATACCCTGAAGTTGGGAACTATCTTTATGTCTTCAGGGGTGCCTTACTCTCTTTCCTTCCTCCTAATTCCATGCTTTCTTTCCAAAGCCTTTTACTGCCTTTCCACTTTACCTTCTATGCCTCTGCTAACTGATTGAGCCTGGGAAGTTCCTAGCACTAACAAAATGTTTTCTGCTTTATTAATTTCTTTGACATCTGCCTTTGTGTGTGTTCATTTATTTACAGTCATCTGAACTCACTCTCCTGTTCCAACTTTCCAGTCCCACCAACAAATACTGAGATCCTGAGAGCCATGACTCTTTACCACTTCTTCACACACACACACACACACACACACACACACACACACACACACTCGAACAATGAATTAAAGACTATGAGATCATCAAATGCTAAAACTCTTCTTCTTCTTCCCCATCTATATTGACAGGGAAAGACATACATAGAACCTTGTAAGAAAAAAAACCAAAACAAACCCAACTTCTAAAAATTACATTGAGGGCTAATTATTTTAAACTGTTATTAAAGCAAAAAATGTATCTGTTTTTTATCTGTTACCATTTAGCATCTATTACATGAAAATATTTTAAAATCTAAATTTTTCTTAGTGTTTTTTAAAGATATAGTCAGTAGAGTATTTTAGACAATAATGGAATGAGACTATTAATTGATGTATTATTGTAAGACACAGATACATGAAAATAAGACATTTTAACTGAAACTGGTAAACTGTGATATACAAATATGACTCATAATCTATCATACACAGTAAGACTAACCATTAAATCAAGTGAATGATTTTACTTCAAGATCTTTTAAAATCCTCAGTTTAAAAATATTCTTTACCATCATTTAGGTACAAGATCTTTATTTATTCAGGTTTATTATGTTTTTGATACCAGTTAAATTGCTAAGGAGACGAGTTATTTTCAACAGTTTCTTTCTCTGTTGAGTTAAAGAGAACACTCAGTCTCCACAAGTAAAACGTGAACAAAGGGAATGCATCTGAAAGTTGGAAAATTGTTTGATCATGTTTTTGAAGAAATCTCTTTATTTCTTGGTCATCCTTCCATTGACTTGAAATGCCACCTTGTTCCGTCTCCTTCTGAAGAAGCTGTTCCAGAACCCAGAACAGGAAGAAATTATTCTCATATCGTGTTACATCATAACTGCCTTGAGCCTAGAAACAAACAAACAAAAATTAAAACAAAACCAAAATTAGTTTCAGCTCAGATCACAAAATGCCAAATGATAAATGTTCATATACAAAGCAAATCCTTGAGACAAACACCTCTGGTTTTCCTTTCCTTTGATGGGAGTTGGGGGGTCCTTCTTCTCAAAGACTTTATATAATCTTTTCTTCTTTGTACATTGACAAAACTCCAACTTTTTTCTTTTTTAAATTCTCATTTTAAGTTATTTCTTAGATGAGCCTAAAATTTTCCGACACATACTAATTGTCCTAAATATTGAGTGGTGAATTGCAAAGTCTTGTTAAACAGTTCCAATTGATAATAAATAGTTAATGTTGCCATTTATATTATAAAGATCTTTGATAGCAAGGTTTTGGGTTCAAGTTTGAATATAAAATCAGTTGTACATGAGTTAGGGTCATGATCTGTAAGGTAGGGCATTGTGTGGCCAATTCAAAGACCTGGCTACTCTAGTGGTTCAAAGGCATCAGCTGCTCCTTGGGAGAAAGATGTAAAATCTCCCATGTGACTTACAGTCTCACAAACCCTCTGGAGAGTCAACTATGACTAGACTTATGCCAGAAATGAGGGGGGTTTTAGTTTGAAGATCAGATTGTGTGGAACCAGATTTATGGACATGAGGAGATATGTGGATGCACCTTGTAGATTATGTAGAATGTAGATGCACTTAGAATATTTAACCTGTTGTTGTTGTGTACTGTTGAGTAGGAACCACCCTGTAGCAGACCTTCCTGTGGGTTTTCAGAGGCAGTTAATTGCATGGGAGGAGATTGCCCATCCTTCTCACAGAGAAGCTGGTGGCCTCAAACTACATGCCTTTGGGATTGCAGCGTAGCTTCTTTCTCTAGGCCAAGAGAGCTCCCTAATATTTCACCTGTTGTTGTTGTTATGTGCCGTCGAGTCATGTGCAATTCATAGTGACCCTATGTACAGCGGGCCTAAACTCTGCGCTGTCCTGTGCCAATCATACCATCTCCGATACACCCAGCCCAAATGCCCCAGTCACTGAATCAATCCACCTCATAGAGGGTCTTCCCCTCCTGTACTGTCCCTCCACCCTACCTAGCATGATGTCCCTCTCCAAGGACCAGTCCCTCCTTACAACATGTCAAAAGTATGTTAGACAGAGCCTCAGAATCCTTGCCTCCAAAGAGCCGCCCTGTTTAACCCTTTCCAGGATAAATCTTTTTTCCTAGCAGTCCATGGTACCCGCAATACTCTTCTCCAGCACCACAGCTCAAAGGCATCAATTCTCCTTCTATCTTCCTTAGTCATTATCCAGCACTCTGATGCATAGCAAGTGATTGCAAAGATCATGGCCTGTATCAGACGCACCTTAGTATCTAGAGAGACACCATTGCTCTTCAGTGCATTGGAGAGGTCCCTAACAGCAGACTTTCCCATGGCAATACATCTTTTAATTTCCTGGCTACTGGTGTCAAGAGTGTTGACTGTGGAGCCAACAAACTAAAGCTGTGAACAATCTCAATCTCTTCACCATCCAGCCTGATGCCGTCAATTGGTCCAGTGGTGAGAATCTTTGTCTTCTTGATATTGAGCCTCAATCCATATTGGAGGCTACAGTCCTTGACCCTCTACAGCAAGCGCTTCAGGTCCTCCTCAGTTTCAGCAAGCAGGGTTTTGTCATCTGCATATCGCAGATTGTTGATAGATCTTCCACCAATCTTGACCCACATTCCTCCTCTGAGAGCCCAGCCTCCTGGATAATCTGTTCTGCAAACAGGTTGAAAAGGTATGGAGACAGGACACATCCCTGGCACATACCCTAGATGACTAAAATGAAATGAGTAAAAGAAAACCTAAAAAGTAGACAATGATAAGCATAACCTAAGAGAGAAATTAGTTTAAAAATGGAAACTAGTATTATCATTTGCATATTAATTAAGAAGTGTATTAGAAACATTTATCTTATCTATAGGCTACTCAAGTTCAGAAGAATGTCTTGTTCAAGAAGGGAACCCAGTAAATAAAATTAAATATATACAGATAACTGAATATACTGTCTTTAAAGGTTTTACTAAAGATTAATCTCTAACTTCACCAGTAGCTCCATGTAGAAGGATGGGAAATCTTCTTCCATTTGATTTAAAGCCTCTGAATACCTTGTAGAGGGTCAGGTTCCAACTTAACAGCACATAAGAATAACAATACTACACCTCATTCCTACTAAATTGGACTATACATTACTAGGTGCATATACACAAAACCTTTATATCTGCAACTTTGATCTAGAATGGCCTCTAATCAAACTCTAACTACTAGCACTGATGTCTTTGACATCAAGGATATATGTCTACAACATTCAATAATTCCATTTTTTCTCCTTTTTATGGACCTTAAAATAATGTCTTATATAATGTTTAGTTATATATGCGCTTTATCAAATATTTAGAATCAAATTGTGTCATCTCAATTGAATCTAAAAACCATCTCAAGAAAAGATTTGATGCAGTGAACACTAATGACTGAACTAGAAGAGTTATGACATTAAGTATATCATTCATGAAGGAAGCAAATAGCCAATAAAAAGACATGAAAGAAAGAAAGAAAGGTCAAAATAAATGTCAGAAGAGATTCTGAAACTTGGGTTAGAATACAGAGAGGCCAAAACAATGGGAAGAAATAATGAAGTAAGAAAGATAAGCAGAAAAACTTCTTAAAGGGCAGCTTGAAAAGACAAAGCAAAGTATTACAATGAAATACACAAAGAACTCCAGTTTACTTGCATGTGCTATAAATGATATTTGATAACTTCCACTTTCCGTTGGATTACCTTTATTTAGTGAATATAGATCTCTTACAGTGTTGACAAGGTAGCTGTTTTCCCAGTTTCTTGGCATAAACGGGCGAGCACCTCTAGGGATGCATCTGTTTGTTGGAAAACGTCACTTGGTATCTCATCAATCTAGGGGCCTTATTTCTTGCCAATGCCTTCAGTGTAGCTTGCACTTCTTCCTGCGTTATCATTGGTTCCTTATCATGTGCTATTTCCTGAAATGTTTCTATGTTAGCCAATTTCTTTTAGTATAGTGACTCTGTGTATTCCTTCCATCTCCTTTGGATGCTCTCTGCATCATTCAGAATTTTGCCCATAGCATCCTTAAGTATTGCAACTCAAGGCTTGACTTTGTCTTTTAGTTCTTTAAGAATGAAGATTGCTGAGTGAGTTTTTCTCTCCTTGTTTTCTAACTACAGCTCTTTTCAGCTATCAGTATTGTGGATAGGATGGCATAGTGACAGCTGCGCCACAGCTGAGATTATAGTCAAGACAGGACTGAGCCCTCTTTGCAGACAGAATTCTGCCCAGCCCCTCAAAGGAGACAGTGGACCCCTCTGCAAACAGAAGTTTCTTTCCAGTCTCCCAGTGGAGGGGATAGCCATGTCTGAACTTTGGTCTTAGTTTAAAAGTAAGCGTACCCATTGTTATGTTGGCAACATTTAATGTATAAGGAAAATATAGCCTCATGAGATAGGATTTTTTTTATTGGCTTAAACTAAATAAAAACCACAGGGAGACTAAGAAAGGGGCTAAGTGTTAAGCTATGAGAGGACCTCTGCCTTAGCCTTCTCCATTTTCAGAATTCATTTCCTCATGTCCCCACTTTCTTTCTGCATCCAGTTAACAATACAGTATAATACTCTGCTTTGTCTTCTCAAGTTGCCCTTTGAAATATTCTGTTCTTCTCCCTCACCTCAGCAATGTTTCAGTAGAGAAACGTATCTAATTTAAAAAGATGTGTGTGTCAGGGCCACACCCTTTCTCCCTGTTAATTCTTTATGCCAAACAAAATAATTCAAAAAGCTAGACTTTATGAGGAAGAATGTGGCATCAGGATTTGAGGAAAACTCATCAGCAACTTGTGTTAAGCAGATAATATTATCTTGCTTGCTGAAAATGAGGAAGACTGAGCATGCTTGTTGCAGAAGATCATGGACCACAGCCTTCAGAATGAATTACATCTCAACTTGGTGGATGGAGGGAGGGGGCTAAGGAAATGGAAAAGATATGGCTAGGACCTGAAAACACAGGGTAATGCATTTTTATGGGCAATGGTAATTAATTTTATAAAACATAATGCATGGGAATGATTGTATGAATCACAATATGAATGAGGGATTCTTCATAGTGAGAAAAATATTTATATGACGTTTGTAAGCAAATGAAGATAAAATTAAAAATTCAATATAACCTCAAGAGTAATAAAAAAATCACACAACACACAACCTCTCTCCCCCCTCCCCACCCCCACCAAATTCTCACAAGAGGGCCAACAGGGCACATTGATAAAAGATGAGAAGTGTCAACGATTTCATACTATGTAGATACACCATCAATAACCTCAGTACCAGCAGTCAGGAAATAAAATGATATATTGCATTGGGAAAGTCTGCAGTCAAGGATCTCTCCAAAGTGCCAAAGAGCAAAGATGCCAATTTAACAAGAAGGGCACACCTAAACTGTGCAATGGTCCTTTCAATTACTTGTTATACATCTGAGTCAGAGAGTCAATAAAGGTGACAGATGAAATAAAATAACTGATGCCTTTGAGTTGTGGTGCTGCAGAAGAGCACTAAATATCCTATGGACTACCAAAAGAACAAACAAATGTGTCTGTGAGAGGATGTAGCCGGTATTCTAGAAGTTAGCATAAATTAGGTAGTGTTTAAATGAGAACTATTTGACAAAAAAAAGGAAAATTGTTTCATTCACTTTTCAACTTTAACAACAACAGTAGTGTACTATTCTTTCACTTATTAACTCACTCATTGCAGTTGAGTCAAAATCAACCCATAGCTAACCCTCCAGTGAGTTCTTAGAGATTATTTTCAGATAATATTAGCATATATTTTTGGGCACAGAATTAAATCCACAGAATGGATATAAAAATTTCACCTGAATATGATGGAAAATGTCAACCATCAACCTAATACCATTTATTTTAAG